GCCCTCCCTTTTGCAGTTTCAACAGAACAACCAACCAGCATTCCTTCCTGATAAGAGATCACCAACCACTGAGAGGTTCTGGTCAGTCTAGGGAGGCTGTGCACTGACTGAGGGGTTTTGTGTCCTCTGCTTCATCTTTTGAAGTCAGAGGCCCAGAAACTCCCCCCTCACATCTTGCTAACACTACCATTTTTTGAACATGGGACCCCATGAAGGGGCTTGCAGGTCAACTGTGCATGTGCGTGTTTCTTCCTTCGTAAATATTCATGGCTTCTCCTATAGCTTGCTGAATATATATTTGGCCACCTCACTCAGCACCAATCCTTGTTTTATTTTTCTTACACTCCAAGTGCCTGTTTCTGGCTTCTGTCCAGAGGCTATGCTTTCCAATCATTCAGAGTGGCCACCCTGCAGGCTGCAACCATTTATGAGAATACAGCTCTCCTTTCCACATTTACGAACCTCATCATCCTTTGGTTGACAGTTCCAAATTTCCCCTCATCTTCCTGTCTTCTTCTAAGCCCTCCAAATTCTTCCAATATCTGCCAATTTACTCATTTCCAAAGCTGCTTCCACATCTTCAGCTATCTTTATAGCAAAGCCCCACTCCTCAGTACCAATTTTCTGTGTTTGTCCATTTTGCATTGTTACAAATGAATACTTGAGGCTGGGTAATTTACAAAGAAAAGAGGTTTATTTTGACTCATGGTATGGCAGGCTGTACATGAAGCACAGTGTCAGCATCTGCTTCAGGTGAAGGCTTCAAGAAGTGTCCACTCATGATCGATGGCAAAGGGGAGCAGGTTTATCACAGTGAGATGGGGGAGCAAGAGAGAAAGTGGGGGAGATGCCAGGCTCTTTAAACAACCAGCTCTCCAGTGAACTAGTAGAGTGAGAGCTCATTCATTCCTGGTGAGCAGGGTACCAAGCCATTCATGATGGGTCCCCATCATGACCCAAACTCCTCCCACCAGACCCCATCCCACAAACTGGGGATCAAATTCTCATATGAGATTTGGAGGGGACAAACGTCCCAACCATATTGGGAGCATCTCAGCTCCAGATTAATACCAGAGTAGTAGAGGGAGGAACACTGTGGGGTCTTCATGCTAGCTGCTTTCCATTGACATTTTCCTGGCCTCCAGACCTAGAAACAACCAAAAATAACTTGGTGAATGTACTGAAGTTATTTATCCACCATTTACTGAGACCGCAATGTTGTAAAAAAGACAGACCTTAATACTAGGTTAAGCCTAGTGATACTGGAAGATTTTGTTTAATGTGCTATATTTCCAGCATCTTTCCAGAATCATCTGTCCCAAAACAGAAACCATCTTGTTTCCTGGGCATGCTATCAGAATGGGAAAATAACTAAATTTTTCTTCAAAAAATAATTGCAAAATCCACATGAATGAAATACATTTTTAAGAAGTGAAATAAGAGATAAAAATAGCTAATATTTGAGGCCAAGCACTGTTCAGTATATTGTACATCTATTAACTCATTCAATCTTCACAATAACCTAATGAGGATGACAGTATTTCTATACCCATTTTGCAGATGAGGGAACTAAGGGACAGAAGAGCTAAGAAGCTTGCCCAAGTCACACTTAAGAGGCAAAATAGAGACCCCTCACCCCAGAAGCAGGCTTCCATGGTCTATGTCCTTAACCATTGACCTCTCCTGCCCTTCACACATACCTCTGTTAATCAAAAGAATAGGTCCAACAATGACGACTTCACTTCCTAAGTGAATTCATAGGTTTAAGGTAGTAACAGGCTACATTATAGACCTTAACAAATCATATTGAAATTCTTCTAGAAGAATAGTCGATTTAATATATCATACAACTGTAAAATAATGATGGGCCGGGCACGGTAGCTCGTGTCTGCAGTCCCAGCACTTTGGGAGTCCAAGACTGGAGGAGCCCCTTAAGCTCAGGAGTTTGAGACCAGCTCTGGCAACACAGTGAAACCATCTCTTTACATTTTTTTTTAATTAGCCAAGCATAGAGGCACATGCCTAGCTACTCAGGAGGCTGAAGCAGGAGAATCACCTGAGCCCAGGAGTTTGAGGCTGCAGTGAGTTATGATCACACCACTGCACTTCAGCCTGGGCAACAGAGCCAGACCCGGTCTCCAGAAAAAAAAAAAAGATAATGTCACACCACATTTTCAAACACAAACATATTACCTATCAGTCATTATCAAAAGCCTGTGCTAACTGGGTTAAAATCAGAAACCTACCTGGTGATTTAGGATGGAAATCCAGAAACTGTGCTATGGACTGAATGTTTGTGCCTTCCCAGAATTCATACACTGAAGCTTAGTCTCCGATGTTATGGTACTAGAATGTGGGGCCTTTGGGAGGTGAGTAGGTCGTGAAGGTAGAGCCCTCATGAATGGGATTAGTGCCCTTTTATGAGGGATCCCAGAGAACTCCCTCACCCTTTCCCCATCATGTGAGGATACAAGAAGTCAGCAGTCTGCAACCTGTAAGAGAGCTCTCACCAGAATCTGATCATGCAGGCACCCTGATCTCAGACTCACAGCCTCTAGAACTGGGAGAAAGAAATTTCTGTTGATTTTAAGCTACCTGATCTATGTTATTTGTTATAGCAGCCTCAGTTGACTAAGACAAATGGATTCAATTTTGTCGTAAGTTCTTGGTTTCCAGTAAACCAGAAGTAACTTGATAACGCAATGCTGACTGCTGGGATTTTTTCAGCCAGGTCCTCTCCAGCTCCAAGAAATGCTGGACTGACCATGTATTTTTAGGGACTCTCCTTGCTCCAGAGCCTGAAGGACTTTCTTTTTTTCATGGTCTAATCTTCATTCCTCTCACAATAACACAGAGAGGTCACCAGAGTCTCTCTGAGAAGAACAAACCTGGCCCAATACAGATGAGCTCATCAGTCACTCAGGGGCCTCTTCTTACCCAGAGTCCCCCAGAAATCATGAGCTTCTAGGATGGGCTCCCCAGAGCACTTCCCTTCTTATTTACCAGGAAGAAGGTCTTAGAGGTTACTCCCCCAGTCTTCTTTCAGGCCCAAAGCCTTACCTCTTGCCTCTGCTTCCATTTCTGCTAGGTTCTCTTATTCCAGTCTGTACACATCAGAAGCCGTCAGGAGCCGAAAGAGCCATGGTGAGTTGTTGTACATTTTCCAAATGAACAATGAATTCCTAAAAGAAAACCTCAACTTGCAGCCTTCCTGCCCCCAGGAACTCCTAGCAGGAGAGCCCAGGTTCCAACAAAATGCATGGCAGCTGCTGCCCAGCCTCTGAGAGAATTAATAGGCATTAGAGCCTCAAGTGACCGCAGAGCCACATCCTGTCCAGCCACTCAACAGCTGGCAATCTCCGCTTTTCATAATGCCCTTTCCGCTGTGCCCTAGGGGGCTCACCTCTTGCAGCCTTGACAGTGCAACTCTTGCCAGGTCCCAGCAGGAACGAACTGGAAACTTCCTGGGTTTCCAGCAGCTGCTGTGCTTCTGAACTGACTCTTCCTTGGGGGTGGCAGGCGCCCTGCCTCCTTCTCTGCAGCTGTGGGTTTAGACAAAGTGCATTAGGCTTCTTTCCTCCCCCAGGCCAGCAGGGTTTTAGCCCTACCCACTTAGGGGTCATTTCCACAAAATAAATATCCCCCCAGCTGATAAATTCTCCCATTCTTCCTTGATACGGGGTCTCTTCAGAAACACAACAGCCTAGGTTTCTTCCTCTTTCCCACCCAATCTGCTCACTCACTTCCATCTCACACTGCCACCCTCACCCCCAGCACAGCCACCAGAACACCAGTCCTAAGCTTCAACTGAGCCCCTGGGCTACTTCAGCATGTTCTCCTCACGTTCGTACTCACATACATCTTCCTACAATTTCCCTCGCCCTTTCAGGGGCTAACGCTCTGTCTCTTTCAGAGAACATTAGCTATTGCTCAGGAATATTGTGCAACGACTTCACTTAATTGGAAAAGTATTCACTCTTGGTGGTCCCCAATGCCCCCAGGCCTCAGCCATAGGATGTGGCTCTCACCTGGACGGTAGACACCTTGCTTCAATTTTCACTCTTCGCCCCTGGAAACCATCGGCTGTTGGGGGTGAAAGGAAACTCTATAGTACTATACTGAGGTGACATTTCCACCACCAACCATCTGCTTGGGTCCCTCATAATTCTCCACCGGAGACTGTGGCTGCCTTCCTCAGGGATCTCAGTCATCTCTCAACACCTCGCCTTCCTCCAAGACTGGTGTCATCGCGGAGTTCTGAGGAATTCACTTTCCAAGCAAGAAGGTCTTGGGTCCTCATGTCATCTTCCTCCAAGACTGGCATCATCTCGGAGTTCTGAGAAATTCACTTTCCAAGCAAGAAGGTCTTGGGTCCTTGTGTCCTTGGTCCCAGAAGGGATCTTGTTTGGAAGATGTATTCTTGTCAGCTGCCAGCTCTCGGTACAGTGGTGAGGGTGAGGGACTGTGCAGCTATACAAAACGAAGTAACTTGGAAAAAGTGCCCTTATGGATGAGACTCAATGCCCCAGGCATCCTCCCTCCTCATCATGGGTTGCTCTTTGCAAGTGAAAGTCTCATGCAGTAGATCCCCTGTGCCTTCCTCTCTGGCGCTGACCTTGACAGGAGACCTCTTCTGGTGCCTCCTGGACCACCTGCTGCCTTACACCTGGGCTCCATACCAGAATCACCAGCATCCACTCAGAGGACACTGGGCAGCTGAAACACTTGTTTTTTGCCGGGGCCAGTCTTAGTCCAATAGGGTTTCCAGGCACCCACAGCAGCTGCCCAGGCAGCAAATGTCAGTCAGTTGTAAACCAGCCAGGTAAGACTCACACTTTGGCTTCCCTACATGGACTTTGCTTTGGGAGAAATTCCAAGATTTCAGACTCTCAGGGCCCATGGTCACTGAGCTCAATGTCCCCAGTAGATCACACCCTACAGCTGCACCTCTAAGAGCTTGTGCTTCTGCCAAAACAAAAGCTTCTACTAGATGGGTCAGATCCGTTCTCTGACTTGATGCAATGGCCCCTGTCCCTTCAGTCTGTCCCTCAGCATCTAAGTCAGTGGAAATGGGATGAGGCACAGATGTAGAAGGAAGAACTAGATGGGTCAGATCCGTTCTCTGACTTGATGCAATGACCACTGTCCCTTCAGTCTGGCCCCTCAGCATCTAAGTCAGTGGGAATATGATGAGCCCCATATGTAGAAGGAAGAACTGGAAGGAAGGAAAGGAAGCCACCAGCTTCCTGCTGAGTCTTGATTAGGGCTCCTGGACAGACATTCTCCTCCTCCTGTGGCAAAAACTGTTGGAATTAACATAAAACCACTGAGCCCAAGCTTCCTCAAGTGTAGAATGAGGACACTGGACTCCAGAATATCTGAGTGCTTCTCTGTGATGAACAGAACAATGCCCCGACAAAGATGCTCATGCCCTCCTCCCCAGAATCTGAATATGTCATGGTGCTTGGCAAGGGGGAAATTAAAGTTGCAGGTGGAATTTAGGTTGCTAATAGGCTAACCCTAAGATAGGGAGATTCACCTCAATTATCAGGGTGAGCTCACTGTCATCACAGGGGCCCCTATAAATGAGAGAGGGAAGCAAGAGAAGTAGTGTCAGAATTAGAGATGAATTTGAAGACGCTGGCTTTTAAGATGGAGGAAGAGGCCATGAGAAAAAGGACGCAGGTGGCCCCTAGAAACAGGAAAAGGCAAGAAAAAAGTTCTCCTCTAGAGCCTCCTGAGGAGCACAGCCTTGCCAACAGTTTGAACTTTACCAGTAGTTTGAACTTCTGTCTTCCAGAACTGTGAGATAATAAATCTGTACTGTTTTAACCCATTTATCTTGTGGTAAATTTGTAACAGCAGCTGTAGGAAACTAATTCACCCTTATCCCTCACATCCACACCACAATCTCCCTCTTCTCGCCGGCATTCCATCTCCTCTGCCTCCATGTCACAGAGCCCCAGGTGCCACAATGGCTATGGAGTCTGCAGTGCAAACTCATTGCAAATATTTGTATGCTCAGAAGAAAAATACGAGTACAACGTCCTATATTTACGAGGCCCTTACTACTTTTAAATCACTGTCGTTCAAAAACAAAACAATTTTTTTCAGCGTGTTCTTATGTGCCAGTTACTGAACTGGTTCCTGGGGATGCAAAGACACATGGACGTCATTGTTTCCTTCCAGGAATTCACTTGGAAAAAGAAACACGGGAGACACTGCCTGGAATCCTTGATGCCTCCGAAGTTAGAATGGAGTTGGATTAACCCAGCCTCTCTCTGTGGAAACAGGGAAACGGCTAGAAGAGTGACATCAATCATCCACAATTGCTTCAGCCTCATAACATTGGAGCAATGGTGTCAGACTTGATGCAGAGACTACCTGGGCGTATGCGGTTTGTTTTTTTTTTTTTTTAATCTAGTGAAAAATTCCAAGTCACAGTCATGACACTGAACCATCAAAAGATTGTTTCACGTTTTGGTTTGTGTTAAATGCTCTTTGTGCTTTGCTTTTGTTAGAGATGGCTGGAAAATTCTAGTAACAAGGAGTGCTAGAGAAGAATCACTGCTTAAGAGCAGGATCTCGAAGAATACAACCTTTGCCTCCTATCTCCTCTCTGGTTTCTGATTCTCAAAAAGACACTTCAAACTGTTGGATATTCTTTATGTAGATGAATGGGACAAACTCAAACTTGAGCGTTGATCTTTTTTTTTTTTTTTCCTGAGGAATTGCCATTAGGACTGGAAATAAGTATGTTGCATGGAAGACTTACTGACAAAGGAACTTTAACTGAATTCCTCCTCTAGTGCTGAATAGTGACTGCTGAAATGGCCAGACTGGCAACATATCAGAAGGCAAACTGGCATTCCTATTAGATGGAATGTCCAGAAACCATAATTTTTTAATGGGGTTGACAATTGCCTGCTTCTATAAGAAGATAGGTATTTTCTGTATCTAGCCAGGTGAGACCACACATTTAGAGTTATAAGACAGATTGACAAGATCAGAACTACAATTACAAGCTACCCACAAACTGTTGCAGAGGCGGACAATCTTTTCTGGATGCTTTCTTTAGCCTGAGTTTCTGAACCTACTACTATATAAAGGCGTACTGCCAAGACACAGCGAAAAAAAAAAGGCCCTGGTGGCTTCAAAGATTTTGACATTGGAAACTTGTCCCGGTACCTGAAACACATAATGTCATGTGTCAGTGAGCTCAGCCTGGAGCCCACACCTTGGCCATCTGCCCAGAATTCTCACCCCAATTCTCTAAAACTCTACTGTTTCTTCTCGGGTGGACTACTTTTTGATCCCAAAGGGCAATGTCAATGGGGCTTTGATGCAGCTGAGACAGTCAAAAAAAAAAAAAAAAAAACAGAGTACACAGCACAAGAAAGTTTAGAGGACACCTACTTCCAGATAGAAGAGCTAAGCTCCTCATGTGTCCCCATAGAGATGCAACTCTATGAGTTTGAAGACCCAGCTGCCAATTGTCAATCACTGTCATGTCGGAGGAGCTAGCAAAAGACGCTACTAACAATTATGAGAATAAAAATTTCCTTGTTACTTTAAAGTTTTCAGATCGTCTGTTAAAGCTGATAAGGCCATTGACATCTGTTCTGTTCATTGTACTCTGTCTCCTCTTTTACTTCCCTCCCGGTCCCTATCCTTTGCCAACTATGTTGTTTGCCAGTTGTCTCCCAAGGAGGATGGGAGCAGTGATTTCCCGCATGTATATCTTTGCAACTTTTCCTACAGTGCCTCTTGGCATCCATCCTCCAGAATTTGCTTCTCCTGCAGTGATTCTACTAGTTCACTCTTCCTTGGAAAGACCACTGCCCTTGACTCTCAAAGTGGCAACAATTTTCTCCTTTCCCCTCATTCATCTCAGCACAGGGCTCTCCATCGGCTTTAGAGGGAGCTGCAGTCATGGAGCAATTCAGCATGCTCACACAAGCAGCAGCATACAAAATCATTGACCATGAAGCCACATGGTCTGAACACCATTGTCAAAACCAAGGACCCAAAGAAGTACGGCACACAGGCTTGCCCCTGGGTAAAATGGAAATGGAAAATGGAAATGTCACCAGTAGAGGACAGCCACACTACAGACTGAAATGGTGCACCATGTGGGCTAGGGTTGGTCTATGGAGATAGGTGAGCCCTTTGACATGGGCTGGCTGGAAACATCCTTATGAACAAGGAAAGATATATAACATGGGTGTTCGAGAAAAAGAGCAGCTCAGCAACAGACAGAAGGAGGCAGGAGAAAAGAGCGTTCACAGCATGTTCAACAACATAGAAGACCTTTCCCATGGGATGATAGGGAGTGTGTAGGAGAAATGGAGAAATGGAATGTAGAAAAGATCACAGGGGCCAGACTATGGTGAGTCTTCACAAGTTGAGCTAAAGAGATAAGACTTTATTCTGTTGGCAGTGGGGAGTCATTGAAGGGCTTGAGAGC